CTTCATGTTCTTGTTACCTATTTCAACTTCAATGTTATTTGGAATTTCAATATTATTTGTTGGTTAAACTTCCATGTTCTCATTTAGAGTGATGTTCTCAACTGAAGTTGGATTTCCTAATATAGAGTTTATAAACTCACCCTTGATCTGAAAATTTTTTGGAGTATGAAGAGGATAACCATTTGTGAAGGTATCTTGTTCCAAGATGCATCTGATTTTTTCTTCCAAGAAAGGTGCCATAAGGTCCTCTTCTCTTCCTTAACCTTGTGTCCATAAGAATAGGATATGTGTTTTAAGGATCTCTGCTTTGATGAATATAATTGGATCTACATTTAAAATTTTTGCAAGAATACTATCGAGTATTGAGTATTCTGTTGATTCTGGTGTCTGATTGAACTTGTCTTGTATAGTGAGAGTGTTAAAGATGATTTAGGTAGCCCATGTCTCTTTCCTCTGGTCATTTTTCTCAGCTATTCTAACTAATGTATCGAGGATGTGTAGCTCTCTCTTCTTGGCAATTTGCATGATTCTCCATTCCTTTGTCATATTGGTCACATGTAAAGGAGGATAAAATGTTGATTTGTTGTTTTATTTATCCTTAATTTGTTTATTTGTTTATATTTAGCAAGGTACGTGAAGTTAATTATTTGTTGTCTTGTTTGGTGTCTTGTTTGGTGTCTTGTTTGGTGTCTTGTTTACTTAGATGAGTTGTTGATCTTTCCTGTTTGGTTCTTGTTTATTTCTGGATTTGATGTCGATCTTCTTTGTTATAAAAAATCAGCCATTTATCCGTAGACACTTAATAAACCTTGCTGTGTTGTTTTGATGCTAAATTGTTTGACATATATGTATTTACGTAACTTGTTTTGATGTTTAAACAGGTGTGTATGGAATTAGAGTACTCTACTGTTTAGTCCTTGGAAGCCTTTGATATCTTTTTGAACTTTGTAAGCTTTGAGTTTTCCTAATTTATTGGGAGGAACTATTGTTTATAAAGTTTCTTCTAGTGCCTAGAAAGGTGTAAACTGACACTAGCCTGGCTAGAAGCTTGGGAAGTTGATATTGGACTCTTCTAAGCTTACTGTGAATCAGCTTGCAAATGTGTTTTCCTTCCCTTGTAAAGTAAAGCTAGTATAATGCTGTACTACTAAAACTTCTTTTAATCAATAAAGTGATCTCTTGGGGGAATGGTTGGATGTTCTAGTTTGTTGTTAAGTCTTGAATCTTTGAGAAATAAAATATTTTTAGGCTGGCTTCTCTTTTTCAAGAAAATTACCAAAAAAGGAAAATTTTAAGGAAAAAGAGGACCAGCAGAAAGAGTTTTTTTTTTTAATAAAGTTATATATAAAAACTATTTTGAAGTATATTTAAACTTACTTTTTTGGATTAAAATTTGAACACCCAAAAAAAATTTTTTTTGTAAATATTTATTTAAAAAAGTTTGTATTTTTTATTCTTTTGTTTTTATAAATAATATTTTAAATTTTTATAATATTTCAATAAATTTTAATTAATTTTATATATGACTAATTAAATATATTGATATTTTTTCAATTTTCAATATTATACACTGTATAATAAAATTATAGATTTTATTATATATTTTAATTTTATTATTAATTGATCTTATTAATTATTATTAAAAATATAATAATTCTATTATAAATTTATTATTATTATTATTATTATTATTATTATTTTAATCCATGATTAGGTTAGTACTGTGTATTTATTAATTATTAAGAAAACTGATAGAGATACATAGGGTAATTGCATTATAGCTAAACTAAAAGACTTATACTAATATATTTATCAATGGCTTTCAATTCTCAAAAAGCTTCAGCCTTTAAATACAATCTTGGAAACAATATTTTGTTCTGAACTAAGTTTTGGATAAAGATCTTCCTAACTTATTTATTATTATCAACAGATTATCATTGCTTATTATTTTCCAAGGAACTGAATTTAAGAAATCATAAAAGGGAAAAGGAAAAATAAAAGGAAAGGGAATATCTAAAAATGTGCAAATATATTATATAAAAATAAAAAGAAAAAAAAAAATTAAAAATGCTCCATGTCCTTCAAAGAATCTCTGCTAAAAACCTCTTCACATTAAAAGTTAACCCTTCTAAGATATTCTTATTTTTCCTAACCATCTGAGGAACTTATCCATCTGTGCTCTTGATTATTTTCTTGTAACTGTTTGAGGTACTTATCGTCTACTCAGATCCAATGTCTTGCTCAACACTTCCTTTCTTTTGATTTTGATTTTGTATTCACCTGTGCAAAAGAAGATGACTAATGGTGAACTCTAGGTTCTTATATAACTTTTAGTTTTGTTGGATAACTCCCAATATCTTCCAGCAGTTACACCTATTTAAAGAAATTTTACTAGTGTTTATCTTGATTGTGATATCATTATACAATATCTGAAAAAATGCATTCTCAATCCTAGAGAAGGTCAGTGTTTTTTTACCTTTCTCTGCTTTTCAGTTTTACAGCCTGATCAGAATAAAAAAATAATCTTCTTCATATACTTTGTCTAACCGGGATAATAAGAAGTTGAAGGTCTCAACTTGAACAAATAATTATTTTTTCATCACCTAGAGAATTTAGTGCCTATTCTAATGGCCTTATAATTTTTTTGCTTCAGTTAAACTTCATTTGGAGAAGTAGAAAAGTTTGTATCCTTGATTTCTCTTTCAATCATCAATAACATTATTGGAACATGTGAGGTGACCAATAGAAGCTTGTTTATATTCAGCTACTAACGTGTTTCGAGTTAACCAATTAGATACCAGGTAACATTATGCTATCAAAAATTCAGGATCAAACTGAAATAGACAAAATTCATTAAAAAAATTGTAAAAAATAGTAAGTGCTTTAAGAGGGTATAAGACAATATAATGAGAAGGTGAAAAATAAGCCTTCCTTTACTAACAGAACCTCCAATTCTTATTACTTCTAGCTTTGTAAGGTGACATTCCACTTGTCAATTCTTTTACTTTCTAGAACTTTCTTCTGTGATTTTTATTTATTACGAAATAATGTTGTACATATAATTATTTATACATGATAAATATATTATATACTATATATACTAACTAGCTCTATTAAAGAAAACCACATGATGCTCTCTTAATTTTTCCTAGAACAATTTTATAGAGTAATTTAGTTATTAGACTATTGCATATACTCTAATCTATTTCTAGTTTTGGGACTTTGACATGGTTCACAGATTTCTTCTCCTATCAAGGTCTTCTGATGATTTATTACAGGCAAGTTTGACTATACTTTTATGTATTCTACCGGTACAATGTTTACTCTCTTTGGAATTTTACCCTTTTTAACTTATAGTAACTTTTTGTGATTGGTAAGATCATCAAAATACCTGATGCCAATCCAGTCTACATTTCAGTTAACTGTAAGATCAGTCCCATTCTCTTTCATTTTATCAGAATACTAATAAGATACTGATCGTTTCACAACATCTATAGACCGGCTATTATAAATTTATTATTTAAAGTTTTTATTATATATAGTATATATTTATTATTTATTTTTTATTATTTATTTAAACAAGTATCAAATTGAAATATTTTAAGCTAGAATAGTTAGATCTTAAAGTTTAATAATATAATTTTGAATTAAATAATTATTATAGTTTAAAAGTAAAGCTTTGAAATTTATAAAATAGTTTGAATTAATAAATACCATTGAATAACTATTTATAATTATATTAGAAATCTTTTTTATACAATCTTTATAAATAATTATTTCCATTTCATAATTAATAAAAAACTAGAAATCATATTTTTTTACAATTTAAACTTGCAAATATCTATTGATGAATTTAAGTAAATGAAAAAATTTTTGTGTTTTATTAAAGTAAAAAAATATTATATATATTGATCAATTGATAATTAATGTTAATTATTCTATCAATATTTCTTATATCAATTAATTTTTAATAATATTTTATTGTCTTATTTATTTATTTTTTTTTTCAATATTAATTTTTTTATTAAACTAATCTAATATTTAAATCATAATATTTTTTTTTATTTTTCAATTTATAAATAAATTCTCATATTATATAATTAAAAAAATGGAATGGTGAATAAAATGATATTAAAACAAAGAATCAATTTTTATCAAAATTATATAGATTTTTTTTTTTTTATTATTATTTATATAAAAATATTATTGTAATAATGATTCTATTTATTAATTTATAAAGATAAATCATGATATTAAAGTTATGGATTAAAAAAATAATTAATTAAATGAAATAGATTATAAATTTTAAACATAATAGAGTGATTATTTTCTAGAGTTTCATATAAAAATAAGTGATAAAAAAATAATTGCAAGATTGGTTAACTCAATTGTGACAAGAAAAATTCAAGAGTTATTAATTCAAAAGAAAAAAGTATAGAAAAAAAAAGATCGAGAAAACAAGTATAGATAAAAGATATGAAAATACTGTGTATAAATCTGAAAGGATAAAATTGAAATAGAAATTTCATAGAAAAAATAGTCAAAAAAAGATATCCTAAATTAGGAAAAGTATAAAACCAAAGCTATTAAGAGAAGCATCAAAGAAGCTGATAAACTAGGAAAAAAAAAAAAAAACGATGGATTTTAAAAATTATTTAAACAAAAAAAAATAAATCTAATACATGATTATCTTTGATTTCATTTTATTTGGTTGAAAGAATATTTTGTGCCAAGAAAATTTGAAAATTTCAATTATGCACTGCACATCAGTAATACTTTAATAAATTTTAGAAAAAAATTATCTAAAAATAATATAACATACAGTACTTCTTCCGGAAGAATTTAATAAACGCATGTTATATGAAATTAGGTAAGTGTTACCAATTAATTTTCTTTGGGTATGAAAAACTAGTTTGAAGAAATTGCTAATTAAATTATGATCGGTGAGAATGTTTTCTTGGCTGGTGCTGGAATCTACCACGCGCCATACTTCGTTTGTGCTATAATTTACAGGTTCCATCATCACATTCTTTTACGGGTTCTTTTCCGTGTTCCTTCCCGTGTCCCTTGACTTGGACCTCGGGAATTTCTACGTTTTGATATCTCGCTCTCACGAAACTGGCAAAATCGGTGTAACCGCCGATAAACTTGTAATCCTTCTCATGACATCCTTCGTAAACGAATGGTGACGTTCTGTGATTATCCGAATTTTTTATTTTCTGATAGGGGGATTTTGTTTTACGGTGAATACGAATCGCAACATGAAAATGTCTCAGTCAGTCATTTCAATGCCAAAGAAATCAACTTACCGATTGTAGATATTTAACCCGTTCGCCCCACTTTGGAAATTTTAAGGATGTAAGAAAAACGCTCTATCTCATTTCAGAATCAAGTGCAATTGATGAAATGGTGGCAAACCTTTTCTTTTAAATGACCAGAAACGTTAATTACGACGGGCTTTGTGGACGATGTGGGTTGCTTTAACTTTCCGCCCAATTCTGTTGCGGCATTGAAGTAAGGACAACTGATAAAACCTTCCTGTACATTCACATGGAAAAATTATTTGACCCAAGTTCTAATGGCACGATTTTCGATTGAACGAAATATTTTTAACACATACGATGTTATAACAAATATCCTCCCTTCTGATGGAACTTGTGTCGACTTTTCCGGCGGAAGCGCCCATGGTGAACAGAGCGGAAATGAATTATTCGAAAAGAAAAATTATTTGTCGCCGAATTTATTCGTCTACTCGGCCAATCATTGTGATCGCCAGTTTATCACTCATACGATATTTTCAAGAATGATGCTCAGTTCCATTTAAAGGCAAATCATCCCTTTCAAGTAAAGTAATTCATATCAGTCGATTTTCTAATAATGTCAGAAATTTTTTTTGTTGAATTTCTAAAATTATATTTTCGAACGCTCATTTATTCGTGAACATTGATAGGAACAGAAACCCGCGTGTTTTTCTCGACATTAATGTTGATGGCTTCCATTTTGGTGTAAGTCGATGAATGGCACGCATTCGTATATACAGCATATTTAAATTCTCAAAATTAATAATTAATGCGACAATTAAATAATTTAGCGTGTCATTATCGAGCTGAGGGCCGACGTGGTTCCCAAGACTGGTTGGTGATCACTAAACTCGAGTGCAACAAAATTTACATAAAATTCAAGTTTTATCGCTTTCAATTAGCCGAAAATTTTCGAGTACTTTGCACAGGCGAAAAAGGTTTCGGCTATCGCGGTTCCAACGTACTCAAGATTGTTCCAAATTGGTACATCAGATGTGGCGATTGCATCAATAATGATGGATCCGGAAACCGATCCATCTATGACGAGGAACTGTTTCCAAATGAAAATTACATCTTAAAACACGATAGACCAGGTGACGAATGAACGTCTCACTGGAATTACAATCGACGTGTTGATTTGTCTCATCTCATCTCGTAACTGGCCAAAATGATGATTTTTAATACAGGCGTCGTCTCCATGATCCATGGAGGCGATTACACGAGTGGTTCACAGTTCTGCATTTACCTTTCAAAAGCAGAATGGTTAAACGATGTTCAAGTCGTTGTCGGTCACGTAGTTGATGGTACGTACGTCGCTATAGCTTGAAATTTTGGTTCTGCTAAATTCAGATTTTGTTTATGATACAATAGGTTGGAGTGTTATAAAAAAGTTGGAGACGTTCGATTCCTCGGGGGACGGTGCTTCAAAGCCCGTCATCACCATTTCCGAATGTGGTCAACTCTCTTGACTTTTTTATTACGAGTTAAGGTTGCTGATTTTTATAATTACATGTATGGCTTATTTCTTTCTTTCTTTCTTTCTTTCTTCCTTCCTTGATTATGCTGTGATGTTGTGTCCCTGATGCACGATTTCTTGTGGAGGAAAAATCTGGAACGAAAAAAAAAAAAAAAGAGAAAGAAGAAGCACTGCAAACAATGTAATGAACGATGACCAAGTATATCATATCCGTGATTCTATATCCTCATCCGCTGTCGCATATCTCGAGGATAATGCAAGAGAATTTCTATCGGTTTCCGAATTCGAATTTAATAAAGTGAAACCGGTGGTCGAACATTTTTCGGTGGAACGCGCGTAAACGTGAACCACAAACCCGAAGTAAATCTTAAAACACAACAAAACACTTCATCATTATGGTTTGCGAAGAGAAACATCAAACTCTGGGAAAAATCGATTGGCCTACATGCACAATCGTCACCGAGGTCAAAATCGTGTTCGCTATAGCAGACTCGACCTTCCATGCTGGCAATGAGTTCGGCGTCCCTTTTGGTGAAGCGGCGCTGTGATTCATCACGATGTACCACAGAATTTCGAATGTCAACGTGAAAACAATGTTTATGATTAAATCTATCCAGTAAAATATTGAATAAAGATAGAGTATCTTCGAATCTTCCTAATGTAGTAAGCGTATGCGCAACTGTTAAATTTTGAGAGCGATCGGGATGAATGACTTCAAATGTCGTTTGAAGGATTTTTATACCCTTAGTACGCCGAAGTAGAGAAAGTAAGCGAATGCGATCGCCGCGAGTATCGAGTATAAGAACGATAGAATCGATGTTGCATCGCCACCATTGAATATGATGGGTATGCCGTAGAATCCCGACAATTTATTCAGCTAACCATCATCATCATTTGCCAGGAGAAAAAGAAAAAAAAAAGGGGAGGTTCGAAAGACTTTAGTATGTTCGTGTGATATGTTAATTGATTGAGTTGAAAAAAATTTTTTTTTACCAGGGAAAATATGGTTATCAGGATTACCCCTGTGTGTGTGATTGAAACGGTGTAAATTACCATTCTGATCAAAGAAAGCAGAGACATTAAACGCTGATGTGGACTTCATACCTTTATGCAGCTCCGCCACACCGCAGAATTTTCTTATCCTTATTATCTGTGACATCCTTCTTGCTCGGTGCGTTATTTTGCAACTGAATGATAAAACTTTGCAGAGGATGGTTCTATTCGAGTGTGAACAAAAGTGTCGGGTTGGGCTCCCCTTTTTGTCTGCTCAAAGTGTCCACTGTTTCTGCCCAACGGTAGCGTCTTGAGAAAGACTCGCTAAAAAGTTTTTTCCTGAGAGAAAAAAAGTTTCGCTTTAACACAAAACCGTGTGATTCCAATCTTTTTGTCAGGTAGATTTGAATTTTAAAGTAGAGATTTTTCCGCAATGAAAGCACGCATTGTTTTGGTCGAGGTTATATACTGTAAATAATTAAAAAAAAAAAAAAAAAAATCGGGACATTGGTTGATCCTATTTTGTGCGTCGGACCGATTTCGATGTATTATTTTTTATTACCCGTACATATGCGGTAGGCTGTAATAACTCGTATTCAACTCGGCGTCAAGTTTTTGCCATGGTCAACGTCGGACAAAATCCTTTTGGTTTAAATGGTTTGACGTTTGAACCGGCACTTTATGCGCATAGATTAACCCCGTAATAATTATATCATTGTAATTTATCTAATTTATTTCTTAGCCTATCTAAATATATCCATTAATAATGTGCACATAAAAAAAAAAAATCGATAAACTCGGAAATGCAATCGTGCCGTGTTAAAAATTCAAAGATAACTGGTTATTTAAGGTGCACTTTTGCAAATCAATGACCGGTAATTTTTTATACTAGACGTAATCGATCAGGTATTAATTAGGTGAACAGGTCGAAAGCCGGCGGCATGTAGATGAGAACAATGGAGGTAAGTGGTGGTAAATTAACCTCGCAGGGCAAACCTGTTACATGCGAACATCATGCACCCGAGACCGCGTCGAACGAGCGTCATCATATGACAATCGGTTGTAAAACTTCAACTCATGTTGGAAGTCATCATCACGCGCTCTTTTTTTCAAAAATTAAGTAAAGATTTATTTAAACGTATTCTATGGATAAATTATTATCACAATTTCGGCGTCGCCATTAATCATCAATCATTACACCGCTGACCGTATAGTTTTTTTAAAAAAAGAAAAAGAAAAAAGAAAAAAGAAATCAGTCTAGGGATTAGAATAATAATGCAATAAAGTTAAACGAGTATTAAAGATGCATATTTGAGAACAACGATATAGGATTAACGTATTAGCTGTAAATTTTTTTTAAATATTAATAACAATAGTCTAAAAAGAATTTATTTGGGTGAATCTCTATTTTGTGTTGGGATTATGCTGTGCAATAGTGCAACGCGTATAAGTAAGTCCCGTAATGCCAGCCGCAAATCGGCCGTGGAAATGTCATTCGATAGTAGACCGACTGCTTCGCGATAAAGGTCGGGCAGGAATCGCAAAAGCTGTGGCGGAAGAGAACGTTAGTCACCGCAAGGTTTCAAGAAATGAGTTTCAAGAAATGACAATCAAAACTTCTCGTACATCATCATCGTCGAAACGGACGTATGCATTCAAAACAGAAATTACTACGGGCGTCCAGGCATTAATATTTCGTGACTGCGAATCGTGATCCAATGAATTATAATGCTTGAATATTTGCAAAGAGAGCCTGAGGATACGTTGCATGATTCAACAATTCTTAGGTAAATTCACAAATTGCAATGCAGGTATTTCGGGAATGAGCAATGAATAATACTCACGGGACCAACTTTCCCTCGATATCCTCTTTCTTCTCTCTGCGATCCGCCGAATCATCTCGATGCATCCTGACCAACAAATTTAAGTAACAAGATGCGCTGCTCGACTCCTGTTTAAGCAAATTCGGCAATTGTCTCATGAACCCTGCGAAACAAAAAAATCATTCAGGATACAGGATGATGGATAGAACGCGGGCATTGCATCATCTAAATGTCATTCATTCATCACATCACCTATTTTCCATAGCGCGATCCTCAGGTTCTTGTCTTCGTTGAACTTTCGCGCGAAACGATACGATTTTTCAAGACACTCTCCGATTATCAACAGATGCACCGAAGGAATCAACTCGTACACCAATTCATTGCTCAACAACTCATTGACAACATCGATCAGAAGTAATTGAAGCAAGCACTTGGTAATAATCTGATTAAACTCTTGGGCTCGTTGTTCGTTGGGTGGAATTGTCGTGGTCGATGAGTACTCTGAGTCGACGTAATTATCGTCGATCATTGAACGCGTGTTCAGGTCGACTTCCGATACAAATCCATTCACACCACTCTCATTTTGACCTGGACGTGTTAAATACATTACTAAGTCACAAATTCTCTCCCTTTTATTATTACCATTATCCAAAAGTCATTTACCGCTGTACATTCCATTGAGCTCATTTGCGGCTTCGACAAAGTGGCGGTCTTCATCGAGTAGATCGTACGGCGTTGTTGACTCAAACAATTGGACAAACTTGGAACAAATTTTTCCCCAGTGGTCGTAATCAAGTTTCTTTATGTTATCCACGATCAACTGTTGCAAGCAGGAGCATCCAATTCGCGCCAACGTATCATTCTCTGGAGGTCATCGGGGTTGGGTTAGGTAGACGCGAAATGGATGAATCGTGAGAATGCATGAAATGTGAGAATAGCTTGGAAGAATCGAGAAGCCGGTTCACCTTGAATTATGCAGCAACCAAGTAAATCCAATATTCCGTCGATCATGACTTCAAGTATATCGAAATAATGCGTGAAAAGGTCGATCATATTTCGAAGAGCTTGAATCATTGTTGTCGACAACCATACGCTCATGTCTTCCTGATTGGAGAACTTTGAGATATCCGATCGAGATTTCAAAATCCCGAAAATGGGAAACAAAATCTGTCGACATATCACTCCCCAAAATTCCAGTGAATATGTGAACCCGTATTTCTTGAGCGTGTCAAACATCGAATTCAACGCTCTGCATTGTGATGCGACGAAGCAACGTATCGATAAGCAAAAGTGTCCAACCGATTAACCGAACACGTTAATTAGCGATGACGATAACAACCTCGTTCGAACCTCCAAATCTTCGCCATTCATTACAACATCGTGAAATCCGAATAATAGCGGATACCAAAATTTGAAAGACGGATCGTCGTTCGTAATCACCTTGTTGGTAGGAGTCACTCCACCTGAACCATTAATAGGTTCGTGAATTCTATACTGAGGATACTCCAGCATCTTTGAAATCGAAATGCAAACAAGCTCAATCGATTGAAGACTTGCCGTTAAAAAAAAAAGAATGCAATCCATGAAGATGAATCATTTCTGCGAGAGGAAAAAGATTCTGATCGACAAACCAAGGTGACATTGAGGTGTTACCTTGTCTTCTGGAAACGCTTGTTCTTGCAGAATTCAGCGAGACAAACCATGAGGTCAGGATAGTTACTGTTGGATACCACATCATCAAATTGGTCATTGATTAGCAGCCTGACTATGTCGAATGCCATCGAAACGATCGACTCTGAAGGTGGTCAAATGTGGAATTTTTCGAAATCATTCGTTAAATTTTAGACCTTTGAAAAATAAAATATCGCAAGATTAACAACCTTCGTCCTCCCTCGCGGCAGCCGAACATACACCGAATAAAGATTTCCAACCGGATTTGATGTTATGGGACTTTGCTTGGATCATTTGTTGAATGCAGCGCAAGACCTATTCAAAAAATACCTGGCGATTAATTAATTGGCAGGAGAAGGCTCGCATAGTAAAAGATCCCAGAATACCATATCCTTGATGGAAATATTCGAACTGTTGGTCAGGATATGTTCGAACGGCCGAAGAAAGTCTTTCTGAAATTTGAAATGGGGGAGCTCTTCCTTGGCCAAAAATTGCATAGCCAACTGACGGAGGGAATCTATGGCGAAGAAGCCGATATTTATGTTTGGGTGACACCCAACCTATTATGGAGAAATTACGGTATTTAGTTCGAGGAAGCACGACCTCGTAAAAACATTCGAACGATTTCCGCACCTGATTAAAATGTTCTCCTAATATTGCCCACACGTTCGACCACTCCATCCTTATACGACCCATGTTATAGTAGGAAATCTCGACCAACTTTTGTAAGCTAAACATCCTTGGATGTTCGGTCATAGTTGACGACTGTATTTCCTCCCACGAAACGCCGCTCAACGCTCTCACGAATTCCACTATTGCTGTCTGTTATGATCATGAGATAAGCATTAAAAAATGACATCCTATGCGGACGATAACAATAATGGCAGTGAGAGTGATACCCCGGAAAGTTTTGAACTTGAACTAAAAATCCTATCAACGGCGACCACCACTTGGGATGATTTGCTTTCTAACGCGACGTCCTCGGCATACGTGATCTCTCGTAAGGAAAAAAAAAAAAGGAAACCTTAGCACCATCGGATTGATCTAAAAAAGGACACGCGTCATTCTTCTACCTGTGAATTAGGTCGCGACGAAAATGATCTTTTGGATATTGAACGTCTCGTTCCGTTGTCCAGAGAGCGGTGCCTAAAAAATGATAAATCAGCTAAATGCGATTGTGACCACGGAATCGAGTCGCAAGAATGGTGATGTGGCACGCACCTTGAAGATTTTCTCACGGAGATGCCCGGAACCACATCTTGATCAAGGCCGGAGCTTATCAATTGGAACCTTTCCAGCTGACTCACGCAAGTTAAAACCTCCTTCCACGAATCCTTCAAATAATTTCCTTCGGTCAACGCGATGTCCAAGAGGGTCTTGATAGCGTCCACATTTTTCGGTTTCATTTCCCCGAGGTTATTTAAGAATGTGAACTTGGCCAATGTAGTGACAAACGCGTTTCGCTCAAGTTCCATGTCGAAAAGGCAAATGATACGAATTGCAAGTTTGAATCCTTCCAAAGCGAGGTTTGCCGTCTCCATGTCTTCGGTATCTTGCAGTGGTCCCGACAGCCCGGCCAGGACAGGCATCCACGCGACCGAGAACATGGGCCGAACATGCTCAAAGTGCGAAGCACTATAGAAAGTTGTGTTTGCTGTGTAGATACCACGACGTTGGGCCCTCAGCATGGATTTGAACAAGGTCTACATTACCCGACGATCGATTTTGTGAGATCTGCCTCAACGGGGATGAACGAATAACGAAAAAAAAAAAGAATACCTCCGTCTTATTTGCCATCTCCTTCAAGACAGCTTGATGAGCCGCTTTCTTATGATCTCTCCCCGCGTTGACTATCGCGCTGCCTATGTTCGAGATACCGATACCTCCAGGAGAGGCCGGAACCTGCTGCATCAGAGCGGCGTCATGTTCATCTTTCATTTTTATCTCGTTATTCTGAATCTCTTCAAAAATGGACGCCAAAAATTCTTCGGGCAGATCAGAATTGTCATTTATTCCACGATTGTTTTTTACGAATTCCTCCTTTGTCATTCGACGCTTAATCTGCGGGTTGTGAAGATCGGTGTTCAACATGATGACCGAATACGCGAGCACATAGGCGGTGTCTAAGAAAAATTTGTGCGTCGGCAGACTTAGCAAATACGCAGATCAAAATTTCAGAAAAAAAGAGGACCATCAAGTCTTCAATCATAAGCACCTGCATTAGCGAATTGATTGGGATTCCCGTCTACATAACGTTCGGCAAACTTCAACATGAATCGATCAATCTTCTGAGCTTCTCCGGGCAATCGGAATGACTGAAGAAATGATCGCAACGCATCGACAAAATTCATATTTTCAAAATTCATTAGGTCAACGAATGCGTGCATGGTGGCGATATTCTCGGGTTCGCTAGATTCAAAAACAGTGCACGACAGGAAAGAATTAAAAAAAATATCATCACCTGATAGCGGCAAATTATGTATGTTAGGTGACTCACCCTTCTCCCAAATATTCCCCGATCATTGCCTTGCCTAGACCTTCGGTAGTCAGCAAGAATCTCGCAATCTCCGCCGGTTCGGTGCTCTTGATGAAACCCGCGGCTACTAATGAACTGATACCCTGATTGAATTAAATCAAGTCAGAAGAGGACCGCAATTATCTCAGCACCTGCATCAAAGGAGTACATGTGAAAATGAGAATGTCTACTTTTTGGGGCTTGAAATTGAATGTCTTGATTCCTTCCTGGAGCACCTGCTTTCGCTGTTTCAAATTTCCGAACTCCTCTGGATCGTCGACGGGCTTCGCTAATTTTGCGTCCGTTGAGACGCTGTACATCGAGCCGGGGACCGACATGGTGGACGACGAAGGCGATGATTTGTTTGTGTGAGAAGACTGAAGTGAGGTAAACTCAATCGTCTCCTCGCTCCTTCTGGGATGCTCTTCTTTTTCTTCATCCGCGCTCTCTGACGAAGATTTGTTGCCGCACCATGCCACTAGGGAACGTAGAATGGACACCAAACACTCGAGGCCTTGGTACTTCAACGCCAGTTCGTCAGGAAGGTTTTGGTGAAGCTGCGAAGATGTTGACTCGGTGATCGCTTTGGTGGAAAGAGAGGGTGGAATGATGACGGAGCTCAAAGATGACGTGCTCGTGAGTGATATTGTGGAGCCATTGTTCGGTGAATCCTTGTCGGCGTTGATGGTCACGGGATTGGGAGAAGAAGTGACAGCCGTATAGGTCGTTGTTATCTTGGACACGATGTTCACAATCCTTGACGACAAGAGAAGTTAATTCGCGCAATCGTGATCGCGAAACGCATGCACCCCGTATAATCGTATGTTAGATTTACGTAGATGTATTACCGTTCATAAGTGTTATCCATTGCCTCCCTGTCACAGTCATAATTTAAATAGATTTCCACCAAAGTTTGAGGATCACTGCAGATCCTCGCGAGGATATTCAAGAGCGCACACTTTTGTTTCGTCGAAGAACCCCTCATTTCCAAAATTGGCAAAAATATTTCGTTGACAAATACTTCGATCTCTTTCTGGAGGGAAGAATTGACGAGCAAAGGGATTTAATAAAGAACAATGTGATCGTGGAGTTTATGAACGAGAGGTGCGACGAAATGAAGAATTGACCTTTAAATGACTCCTAAGTTTGCTGATGCACTTCCAAAATATTTCCAAACTTATTTCAAACACCTGGGGCACATGGCTCGCAGCATTTCTACTCAAACTCAAACACAAATATTGCTTGATCGCCAGTACAAACATAGTTCTCTCGTGTGTTGTGGACGAGGTGATCAAGACGTTGGGCGAGAGAAACACGTTTATGTGCGAATTCAATATGGTTAATATCAGGTGCAACGACAAAAGCTTTGACCGCATCGAATGTGACTTTAAATCTGAGGTCGGCATGGATTTCATGGACAACTTGCACAGAGAGCGAAAGACCAGGAATGCGTCTTTGACAAAGAGCTCCTCCTTGCTGGCACTGCTGTTGCTGTGTTCGGCCTCGAACGATTTTCGGTTTTCAAATGAGCTCCTTTAATATCAATGACGACCAATTGAAAATCACAAAAATAATTCGAAACCAACTTCCAATGACTGCTTTAAAAATCAAGGTCACAAATACATACAGGGTCATTTTTTCTTCTACGGGGGCACTTTCCGGACCTTTGAAATCCTCCACTTCTTCCCCGATAACTTTCTCAACATCCTCACCAGAATTTGTGGCATCATTCCATTGTCCAAATTCCAACGCATGTACGCCCTCCAATTTCACGGGTGTTCCGACGATGCCCTCCTCATTAAAATTCTCATCAGCATTTTCCAACTTCACGGACGCCTGATCGTCTTCGACGTAGACACTTTCCGCATCCAAACTACCTTTCCCGTCGTGTTCCCCATTTTGCTTCTCGCCATACTGCCCATCAAAGTCGTCGCCGCCTTCCTTTATTTCCAAATCAAAGTTGTGCTCTGATCTCGACTCGTCAATTGTTGAAACACTGCTGCTCGTTTTTCGATCCATGGCCTGTGACTCGAATTTGCTCTCATTACTGATATTTATGCGACCGAATACATGATGAATCATCTGCGTCAATGTCCCTTGCGCAATGGTCTGATTTTTGGAATTTCTGGAGAGCAAAAATATATTGTAGGATGTACGGATGGACTTGAGAAGAGATGACTGATGAATGGGAACGACTGTCGACGACACGGCTGCAAGAAGCGCCTTTACAAGCGCACGACCCGTCATAAAGAAAAACAAACCGAAAATCTCGTGATGAATGGGTGGGAAAGAAAGATCGGGAGAAAAGAAAGAACAAAGAAAAACCTTGATTATCTGTAGTTGCACTTGATCGTCGGTATTTTCACCGATGAAACAATCGCATACGACATCGACCGCTCGATCTATCAAGAGCCTCCCGGGATCTTCTTTATTGTCTTCGTGCTGTTGCCCCCTCTCACCTTCGGCGGTGTAGCGTTGGTCGGGTTCCACCAAATAATTGTATGAGAAAAGTTTCCCTATGCAATCCAATGAGATGGTCATCAGGGAAACGACCTTTGATTGACACGCCAATTGTAATGATTCGAAGATGGTGCTGACATCGCTAATGAAGAGGAGAGGGGTCGGATTGATGGTGATGCTTAGAAATTTATTATTGATCGTGCACTACACGAGTGAGGTGGGACGGAAAAAATGAATTACCCCGTTTCCTCTGGATCCTTTTTTTTTATCGATCCTGGAGTTCCATGCGCACCAAACGTGTGTATCATGGTGTTTTAACAGGGATCGAAATGAAAGGTGAGAATTGAAGACAAAAAGGCATGCAATGACACTTTTTATGACAAGAAAGAAGATGAATGCTACGGGCAGGCGGGGAAAACGAGGTTTCGCGGAATGATAAAGAAAAAATAAATAAACAAATAAAAGGAAAGTTTCGCTGTGCTCACCTAGGGCTTTGTTAACACATTCTTTTAGCTTTTTATTTCTTTTGCATTCCTTATTTGCACCAATACTTTCCAGCGCATTGATGATAAAAACAACGCTCGATGACATTTATCGAGAAAGCAAAACTCATAAAATAGAATGATCGATGTCTTATATAATTATCACCTCGGTAAAAAAAACGTAACGTACGAATAAATGTATAATGGTGCGTTACATTTAATTTGTTTGGGATTGACAGATCCATTACGTAATCGTGCGCTCATTGGTCGATCGAATTGCCCAAACCAACCAATCAAATCACGTACTCTCCTCCTCCAGACATTGGAGTGTAATACGATTTCAAATTTAAAAACTTTATTTACAGAAAAACGCGTAGAGAGATTTGAAAAAAAAAAAGACATTGAAATAGAAATTCAAGAAAAAAAAAAAAAAAGAATTAACGCATGATAAGAGATCTGGTCATGATTTAAAAAAAAATGGAAAAACGAGAAAATACGATGATGAGAACCAATTTTTCGTAGAGAACAAGAATTACGATTGGTTGATCACCGAGATTGTGGAAAACGGTGATTTTCTGGTAATCAAATCATGACGAGATGTTCAAAGAAGAAAAAATAAAAAAATAAAAATAAAGGAAAATGAAAAAGAAAAGTCTATATATTTTATAAAGTAGGAAAGAAAAAAAAAATGTTCATTATTACTTTTTTTTTTTTTTTTTTTTTTTTTTTTTTTTTTTTAAAAAAAAAAAGGAAGAGTAACAATCTACTACAAGAAGAATAATAAAAAAAAAGATCTAGATAAGAAATTTGTTTGGCGTATATACAATAATCAATGAACCTAAGTTATTCGTGCGGAAATATAAACTTTTTGTAAAAAGGAAACCTTTGTGGTTATCGAACGGGCGAACGAATTCGGATGCATTTGTTACGAGTGGACATCGATAACGATGTCAGGGGAAAAGAAAGAAAAATGGTTCGAGATAAATCGAGGAGAAAAAAAGAGTAGATCACAAAGTGTTTTACAAAAAAGAGAAAAAGAAACAAATTTCTTTACGGACGATTCCTCTTATCGAATTGTGCTTGAGGAACCTGTTAAAAAAAAAAAAGGATTATCAGTACCGATCCGCCCTTCAAAGATTCAATGTTTCGCGCGCGTATTACATACCTGTGCGAGTTATTACAGTGACGATGTGATTCCATAACTCGGCGCGGATGATCTATACCACCGCGATCATCTGTCGCAATTCGGCATTCTTATTTTCGGAGATCGAGAATAACGATTCGCATTTCGTGAAGATTGATTTCATTATAATCAATGTTGTCGTTGGTGGTGGTGGTGAAAGGTGTTTTTTTTTTTTTTAATTGGTACGAGAAGTTTTTTTTTTTTGATCTTGTGGATGAAAGTTGCAAATTTCTTTGGAGGCTGTGGCTGTTGTTTTTTTTATAACAGTATTTATAGATTCTTTTTGCAATGTAGTTGAATTTGATATAGCATGAAGTAGTGAATTTTTATGCATATATATATTTTAGTTTTTTTTTCTTTAGGAAGTAAAAAAAAAAAATTCGTTAAGGATTTTGAGTTCTATCGCACAAACATTGTTTTTTTAGATGAGTTGAGTTGACCTTATTCGTAGAAAGGAAAAAGTAAAAGCTCGATAATTTTAAGAGAGAAGAATGTCATATATATTTTTTTTAAAAAAAAGTTTTTTGAGTTATTGATGTCGTGATTGTCTGATTTTCGATGCGCGAGACAAAAAGAATATCTTGTTCGAATAAAAAAATTTCGTCGATATCGTGGTATTACAAAAAAACGTGACATTAAAAAAAAAGAAGAGAAAAGAAAAAAAAAAAAAAAAAAAAAAAGAATAACAAGGAACTGACCTCGATGTTATCTTTTTTTTTTTTTTTTTTTTTTTTTTTTTTTCAAGAAGTTGACGACGTTAAAAAGAAAAAATAGACGATGAAATTATGGAAATCGTGAGGTCGATGTGAAAGAACCTCGTGGGGTTTAAATACCTGTCGAAAATTGCGGAACCGATCTTTGACTTTAGACTGGATGGCATGTTGTATGTTGTCAGACATACATTTCCGAAATCTCAATGCTCGCTGACATCGTTCATGCGAGTATGCTAAGCTGTTGATTTTCACCGCATATACATGGCACACATATTTTACTGTAGAAGAATCTCTTCAATGACGCGTAATCTTAGATTACAGAATTATTGTGAAAATCAAATTTGGCATATACAGTGTGTACAGTATATAACTCGCCATCAAAGGGTAGGTGATATCCCTTGCGTAGCATAAGTACGCATCGACAAGCACCTGTCCAAAACACATGTCTAATAAATTATACATCACGCTTATTTTTGATAAAGGAAATTGTGGGGTGAAGAAAATCGATTGCATCTATAGCAAAACCTTTCTTGGTTGGTTGTCCAATTGCCCTATGCGCAAACTGAAAATAAATTTTTGGGGGAAATGATACGCCATCTAAGTGTCCATTCAAGTGTCCGCCGTGACGTACTATTATTATTTATTCATCCTCAAAGACCTTTTACGCGTTCCCTTCTTATCGTCGGTAAAGATGACACTGACTCAACCGAGTCGAGGAAATGAAGAATTTATGTGAGCAGCCAATTGACAAAATCCATTCCGAGATGTGAAGGAGAGAGGTTTCTTCCCCGGGTGTCTCTGGAAACTTTTCGACACAAGTATCTAGCATTTTGCCAAAAATGAAAAAAAAAATCGATACATTTTGCAAGGCACCCAGCGAGAGTCCAGAAATACGCATCATGCAATGTAACAATATGCGGTCAAGTCAGGCATAGAACACCTCATTTTTTGGCAAAAACCGTCAACTCATTGGAACTTTTACCCATTGTTCTCTTTTAATCAAAAAAAAAAAAAAAAAAAAAATTTTTTTTTTGTTTTTTTCTTCCTATGCAAATAATGACGAAACCACGGTGAAAGAATGATGGAATGATCCCGATTGTTATAATATCCTGATGACAGTAGCACAGCCATGTTGTAAACAGAATTTCTTGAGAAGATTATTTGGGTGTCATTTTACAGTACATGCAATCGGGATAACCTCACATGATTGGATGAACTCGCGGACAAGAAAAATGATCAAAGGTATTGTCGAAGAACAAATAAATGATACCGAGAATGATAAAAGCTCATTTCTAATAGTTATTATTCGTAAGCAAATAATTTTTTATAACAAATAAAAACAAATATGTACGATGTGTATACAGGTACGTGTGTTGTATCTTATTCATGAAGATTCGATGTGAGATCTAAAAAAGGTTTTCGCGTCAAATTCGTTTTCCACCAATGTACAATAGGAAAAAAATAAATGATGAATTTGTAGTGAGACAAATGTAGTTTGACATTTGCCGCTGGCGACCCACTAAAAATCTTCTCCATCGCCTCCCCATTGTACATTCGCTTAACTGTGCGTGCATACCCCTCTTTGCCGCGCCCCCGCTGACATCCTGACACCGAAAAACATTATCCCATTCAATTCCGCATTGTCGTATATCCCATTATACTTTCTATTCACGCTAATCGCCGAGACCGTTGTTCTGTGGAAGAAAGGGTATACCAATTGTTCAATTAGAACCTCATCCAATCATGCTCTTACCTTCCACATTATGCCTCCTCCATTCTTTTTCCCTCTCGCATTTTTTTTTTTTTTCATTGTTAATATTTGTCCCTTTAAATTCATACTGCCCGACCGATAACATTCCTGAAGTCCATTTTCAGTAAAAGCCAGATGTACGCCTAACCGAATTTCGCCGTCCTGCTTTCGGAATTGCACTGTACAGACGACCGTACAGGAACTCTGAAGGTGAAAGTGCATTTTTTACATGGGAAATGTATATGACAGAATTGGTGTGTGATGTTTGAACGAATTCGTTGAATCTATTATTGTTGCGCCATTGTTCTGCCTCTTTAATGTAAGTAGAATTGATTCGATTGTCGTCACTGGAATTCGCGTACACCTCTCATAATTCTGCATGCCCGAAACAGAGGGTCGTTGCGTAGACCATGGGCTGTGACACCTCAAGTCAATTGTTAATTGCAAAGGCTTAGACTTTAGCTTTTTTTTTCATTTTCCAACACCAGAATTAGTGATAACCACATTCCAATTAAGAGCTTAACCTATGCATCATCGCATCTCATGGCTTAACATTTCCCAAACGGGTGGTCGTAACGGCGACTCGATGCACATAGGGCAGTATGAAGTTACCAATTCCATATTCGAAAGCTTTTCGAACAATGGGCTAGACAACTTCTACCCCCAGGGGCTAGTCATTTAACACACAAAAAAATATCTACTTTTTTTACTGTATGTACAGTATGTATGCGATGCGCCTTGTGGTTTACCATTTTCGCCAGTTTATTAATTACCCAAATAACTATTTGAAAAAAAAATTTTTTTTTTTATTACAAAATAAAACCTTGCTTATAATCATTGGTGCATAAGAAAATGTTACAAATTTGCCGAGGGACAAGATAAAAAAATGCGAGAGGGAAAAAGAATGGAGGAGGCATAATGTGGAAGGTAAGAGCATGATTGGATGAGGTTCT